GGATTCTTTTTGTTTTCATCTCACTCAAAATCCAGAACAAAAATTATCATATCACTATATTAACAATTTAGTAGATATAGTTTAATATTAGTGAAAGGGATTTCTGGAATAAATTTGTCATATCTCCTTGTTAAATGATATAAATTTGTGACAGATTTAANTCTGCATCTTCTAGAATTAGAGTCATTACAAGCTTACTGAGTTTTCAATGTAATAGTTCTAAATTAGGTTAAATTAAGTGTACTTGTATCGTTAATTAATAGACAAAGTAGGCTCGAGTTTGATGGTAATTGTTTGGTTGATTTATATCGAGATCTGGTTTTATTACTCTTATGGTCTGTTTGGCAGAATGGGTGAAACATAGGATGGGTGGAAAAGTATGAGGGATAGACTTTCCATTTTTAGAGGAAGAAANTGGTTTTATTACTCTTATGGTCTGTTTGGCAGAATGGGTGAAACATAGGATGGGTGGAAAAGTATGAGGGATAGACTTTCCATTTTTAGAGGAAGAAAAACCATTTTCTCTCATTTTTGTTTGGTACTATGGATGGAAAGTTGGATAAATTAATTTTTTATTGTTTTGTATCAGAGAAAAAATGAAAGGAAAGGAAACAAATGCAAATTTAATTTATTGTTATACCCTTACTAATAAAAAATAATTTTTTTTATTGCAAATAGACTTTCCAAGATTTAAAAATATTAAAATCACTCCAATTGGCTATAAAAATTAATAAATATATGCAAAAATATATATTAATAAAGTAATACTAATATAATTTTTTTTTACAATTGAGCCTTTTAATTAAATGGAAATAAAGGTAGATAGTAAAAATATTTCAACATTATAACTAGAACCATTAAAAAAAGGTCCAATCATATTTTTCCTTGATTATGTCAAATCTCCAAAATATTGATGAGCTTCACATGCCTAACATCATAAAAAATTGGCTAACATCATCACACACAAGAAAGAATAGAGTTTTGAGCACATATAAGTGAAGATGAATGTCAGGGAACCATAATAGTAATTTGACTTAACCCTAATCAATGACGCCATCTTCTCTCCCACTTTCCGCCTAAAAATGAGTGGGAAAAAATTGGTAATCANTTTGTATTTCTCTAAAACATTTTTCATATCCCTAAATTTTATCATAGTCCAAAATTTGAGAGATAAATACTATAACACGAATTAACTATAAGATTACAAATCTTTGAGAAAGTGGACAGATAGTTTGATCTGATTTGATTGGTGATAAATTTATCTTCTCCCTTTGAATTTGTGTAATTTATTACGTTAGTCCTTAGTAATTTAGCATCTCACTAAATTACATTGAAAACCAAAATTTCGAAAAGGGCCTTTTGGCACAGTTTAAGCCTATTACTTCATGTCATGTGCAATAGTGTCATGTTTCAAGGGAGACACACATGACCAACAAGCATTTAATTTGAAGATTGACATTTAATGTCAAGCTTTTGTACTTTTGATTTCGTTTGAGAGAAACAAAGTTACTGATATTGATAGTTCATGAATAATAAGGCTATTTGATTGGATAGGATGAAGTAGCCACTAAGAAAGTTGGAGTAAAGCTAAGGAACACCCTCACAAAAGGGAAGACTCTGATATCATAACATTGTTTGAAACTTCTTAATATGAAAGAAATATTTATACTTTATGTCTTTCTTTATATCTTACTAAATGAGGGGAGTACAATTTATATACAATGTAATGTTGTATATCTCTGACAAAACAATTTGTATTTTTGGCTCTTTGGCAACAAAGAATGGCATGTATAAGATGTATGCTGTGTAGTAGATATGTTTTGCAGATTTTTGCTACTNTGGCAACAAAGAATGGCATGTATAAGATGTATGCTGTGTAGTAGATATGTTTTGCAGATTTTTGCTACTTATGCAAAAGCTTCGCATTAATTGTGAATCTTCACATCAAATGCATGTTGGACATGCTTGCGGTCATGCTTCTTTCTGCATTAGCCTGACACTATTGCACATAACATTTGTCTCTACATTTATTATGTGNATGGCATGTATAAGATGTATGCTGTGTAGTAGATATGTTTTGCAGATTTTTGCTACTCATGCAAAAGCTTCGCATTAATTGTGAATCTTCACATCAAATGCATGTTTGACATGCTTGCGGTCATGCTTCTTTCTGCATTAGCCTGACACTATTGCACATAACATTTGTCTCTACATTTATTATGTGTCACATGCTTCAATAATTGCCACCGTAGATTTGTGGATCGTGAACAAATTTTGTACAATGGTATGATGTAAAAAGTCATGATCCCAAGTTTTGACGTAATTGTCAAACCAAGTGTTTTTGGTTATAAAATAACAACTCTTATTTTCTTCTCTTCCATTTATGGCATTACTTGAACTCAAGGCATCTAGTTTCTGGGAGGTGAAATGGATTAGAGGAAGTGGGTTACTTGTCATACTGGTATGAGGTGACCAGTGATTGTCCCGTGAGAGTCTGTGATCTCACGACCATTTTGGTGTCTTCAGCCTGTTCTGGATGGTGAAAGTCAGTGACCTTGGATGATCTGAGGAGCATGTTTATCTTGCAATGGTCATTTTATCTTTTCAAATTTCTTTTTATATTATTTATATGGTTACTTCCTATATGCATTCTGCAAGAGCCTGGCTCANTGTCAAACCAAGTGTTTTTGGTTATAAAATAACAACTCTTATTTTCTTCTCTTCCATTTATGGCATTACTTGAACTCAAGGCATCTAGTTTCTGGGAGGTGAAATGGATTAGAGGAAGTGGGTTACTTGTCATACTGGTATGAGGTGACCAGTGATTGTCCCGTGAGAGTCTGTGATCTCACGACCATTTTGGTGTCTTCAGCCTGTTCTGGATGGTGAAAGTCAGTGACCTTGGATGATCTGAGGAGCATGTTTATCTTGCAATGGNTGAGAGTCTGTGATCTCACGACCATTTTGGTGTCTTCAGCCTGTTCTGGATGGTGAAGTCAGTGACCTTGGATGATCTGAGGAGCATGTTTATCTTGCAATGTTCATTTTATCTTTTCAAATTTCTTTTTATATTATTTATATGGTTACTTCCTATATGCATTCTGCAAGAGCCTGGCTCATATATCGGCTGTCTATGGACATTTATGAGTTCCAAGCAACTGCTCAGAATCACTCCTCCTATCTACCAGTTTGTTACTGTTGCCAGAAGGAAAATTACCAGTTTGTTCCAAAAGCAAGNAATTTCTTTTTATATTATTTATATGGTTACTTCCTATATGCATTCTGCAAGAGCCTGGCTCATATATCGGCTGTCTATGGACATTTATGAGTTCCAAGCAACTGCTCAGAATCACTCTTCCTATCTACCAGTTTGTTACTGTTGCCAGAAGGAAAATTACCAGTTTGTTCCAAAAGCAACCATGAGGTTAAAGATCCTGGTTGTAATTTGGCATAATTTGGCAGCCCTCCATAAAGGTTTCCCTGAAATCAGATATGAGTGGATGCTGCCTTAGGTGTTTTCTTGAATGTCTTGTATATGGATCCCAGTATTCATTTTTCGCAACCCCAGTGGCAATGTCAATAGAGCATGTTCAATGGCTGAGACCTCCTTGGGAAGAAGTTACAACTAGGAGAGCTTTGTTACCATTCTGCCTTGGAATGCTGCACTGGATTGTTATCTCTGGTAACAATGTTCTCTTTTTCGTCAATGTTAACAAGAACTGTAGTAATGTTGCATTATACTGTATTATGGCATTAGGGTTTGGTAGATCAAAAGGTATTATTTTGTCGTTTAACTGTGGTTCTTGATGAAATTGAGACGTAGTTTCATGATTATACAGAGTTACCCCTAACGACATTATATTAAGATTGTGATTTACTTTAGCATTCTTTCTGTTAAATCATTTATCATGAATTGAAATGGTTTTTATTTTTTTATTTTATGTCAAAGAAAGTTTCACTAATGCCCAGTTTTTTATTTAACCTGATGAACTGAATGGAATTAGGATTAGGGAATGTCTTTTATTGTCAATCATGGTTCATTAAACTCTTTTTCTTTCTTGCCTTTGTCTATTGGTTTTAGAAGAAAGAAAATATAGAAAACATATTCTGCAATTATTAATTCTTACAGGCTTACAGCTAATGCAAAAAAAATTAAGAGGGCATAAGAAATTAGCAGAGAAGAAATGGCCAAACAAAAAAAAGATTGGGGGCTCTCCAATTGTATAACCAGTTATGAATTCCATGATATTTTCTGTTCAATTTCAGTATATTTTGGGGGTTATAACCTCCTTGCTTCAGCACATGTGTCATCTAATTCATTGGGTTGGACCTGACAGGAAAACTATATGGAGATAGTTGGTTTGAGTTTGATCTTAATGGTTCAATGAACAGATAGATGTATTCAAGGAATAAATAAACTGATATGATTGAGCATATTATCAAAAAGTGTGACACATATCAAGTAAATTCTAATATGACTTGAACGAGAAAATATTCAATGTAACGACAATTTCACGTTATTGATAACACTTAGTATCACAAATCAATAATAATATACCTTATAGATAAATGTATTACACTATTCTAATATGTTTGTTATTCTGCAGGGTACTAAAATAATAGGATTCACTACACATGATATATTATCATTGGTTGATGATATCACATATCACCGAGAAAGTGTTATCACCCTGGCATTCAATATTTTCTCCACTCTAGATAAAGACTACTCATTTGTAATCGTACTGCCTATAGGACTTCTCAGAGTCCTCCTGAGTTTGTAAGTCTTAAACCACCAAACCATTCGAACCCTCTTAACCTCTTTATCTTCTGTTGGGTTATAATCTAGTTTGTTACTAGAATTAGAAGTTCTCGTCCAACAAGACTTCTTCATGTGACAAACTCTCCCACGAATCTATATTATCCTCTACTATAAATTCATACAATGGCTTCCTACTTTTTCTTCTTATACATTGGAGAAGAGACACAGAGAGAGAGCTATGGCATCTTTGGAAGCTCTGGCAATGGCGGGTGTGGATTTTGAAGACTGCAACCTCACCTTTGAAGAATACGAGCGACAATTCATGTTGCAGCCACCGCCATATTTACTCGCCAAGCCGAGAATAAAGAGAAAAACCAGTTGTAATTGCACTGTTAATCTTTGCTTATTGAACTTGCATAAAGGGAAAGTTTGCAATGTGGATGATGAAATTTGCGCTGATGATGATCGAGAAGAAGTTGCTGCCGTGGCGGAGGAACGTTGTTCCGGGGAGGCCAAGGAAGGTGGTAAAGAAAATACGATCAGAAAAGGGTGGAGATTGGTGAGGACATTGATGAAGAGAATAGTGAATACCCTTGCCAACATGTCCAGCAAAGCGAAGAGAAAACCGGTAAGATTAGCAACAGTTCCCTGTTATATTGGATAGAGCTCTGATGTAAGGCTAAATAGAGATGCAATTCTTTTTTATCCTGTTTCAAAACATCTATTTAGTTTGCTAAATTTATTTTTTTTTCCCCTTTTTTTGGTTATATAACCCTGTGGTTTGTGGGATTTTAAAATCGGATATTCTCCATAAATTCTTCAATCCAAATGCCAAAAAAGTTTGTGTGTTTATACTTTTTATTGTTGGAAGGGAGCACCCACTCTATTGAAAATGACGAGCGGCTCGACTGTTTGGCAATCCGGTTGAGGTGTGGAGTAACAATACCAAAAGTCTTATTAAATATCGCAGTGGAACATACGGAGTTGAGTATTATGTCATCAGATTTGTTTGTTGATCGAAATTAGACATAATTGTAAAACCCTAATTTAGTTTTCTTTTTCGTAGAATTGCCTTTATACATAAAATTTTACTTCACTATTTGGATGTAGATGTTGTAAGCACGAGTACGACAACAAATCAAAATGATACTACTAAAATATAATACAAGGTAAATATCATCCGATTTGATTGACACTCTTATGATGTTGTTAGGTTGGTCATGTCTCTATTATTTACTCCCATAAAGGCTTAAGGTTGTTCATGAACTGGGCCTTGCAAAGAATTAGAAGCGCAATTTAGTGCCTGAGATCAAGTTTTCCTTTGGGCCGGCCCAAAGGCTAGTTTTTTTTTTTTTTGGGCTGCTGAAGTTTTATAGAAATAATATTTTAGAAATAAATAAGTAACAATAATATGTCTTAAATTTAAAAATTACTTTTCGGGCCAAAAATAGCCCAGGCCCCAATGTATTTTTATTTGGGCTGCCTAACCCGTAGCCACTTCTAGCTAAGGCCAGAGCCGAGTCTCCATTCTTAAGAGCCCAGATCGTTTTAGCTCCATCCACAATGGGCCTTCCATTGAGTATGGTAATCCCCTCTATACCTCGATAATAAATATTTTTGAAACGACTTGTCCGATCTCTACCTACAAACGCTTGGATTCTCGGTTCAGATCGTTTAACACCCATAAGCAAAACTCATTACATTCAACTTCTTGTTTAATATCAAACTCAGCTAAACACAATTAAGTAACAGATGTTGGACCTTGTCATCCCTAATGAGAAATAAGAAGATATATAAAGCCACTAAGCTAGCTAGCCCATGGTTGAACACAGATACTGAAATTACAATGACCATCGATGTCTTGTCATTATCATGTAAAAATTTCATTGGGCATCATTAAAGATAAGTACAATTAATTTTATGTAAGAGTTTTCAAGTTCGAATCTAAGTTACTCCCATTGATGTAAAGGACAGGATGCTGTCCCAAAATCCAAGTTACTTGGGAAGACTTTTTTTATCATGATTAATGTGGTGGCCCTACAATTCGAAGAATAGTTCAAGAGTAAATTTAAATGTTTTGAATTTGAATTTTGACAATTTCTTGACGTTAAACTGATTTATCTCTATTGATGAATACCTTAGTCTGAGTATGAATTGTCTATTTTTGATCGAATTAAAGAAAAAATTAATTGAGATATATGTAAATTGATCTGATCACCGATAATTGTTAAAAAAAAAAAAAAGTAATGTGGTGGGCCTACAATTTATTGGTGGTCTGATGCAGCCCACAAGAACCTGCTTTTTAAATGACCTTTTTGGGGGTCCCATTGTCCGAAGCATTGATACTGGAGTACGATAAGGTTGTGCTGGGGAATCAATAAAGGACGTAACTTAATCCATTGGTCAGTCAATGAACCCCATTTTATTTGATTCTAGTTCAAATCCAACCAAAAAAATTGATCCTTTTTAAATTTCTACCTTTTTTATCGAATATTTACGTTATCATTGTAAGTTTTTATTTATATCTCCATAATTTTAGATTAATTATAATTAGATCGACTATTAGTATATCCAAATTTAAATCAATGAAATATAATATAACACACTCCAATCCGAACATGAAATAAGATTAGTATTATACTAGTTGATGAGTCCTAATTCAGATCAGGTCTGGACCCACTTCATAGGTTGAAACCAAAATAATCAAAAAGTAAACCAAGCTTAGGTCCAGTCCAAAATTCAAGAGTCCAGTAAGAGTTAACGCGCGTGGTAGAGTAATTATCGGGATAGTCATGACTTTAAGATAGTGTCTATCCCCAATTGTAGCTATTATATCCAATAAACTTATACCTTGACTTTCACGACATCGCCTCAACTAGAGCTTTATACCTATAAATTGTAAACTCTCTTACACATAGGAGTAGATCTCACACATCTTACTTTGAGCGTACTCTTGCACTCTCCTCTCTCATATTACCTTGTACTTTTTTATTAATAGAGTTCTCTAACCATTATTGTCACATGTCATTCAGACTTAATTACCTAATCTTTGTCTCTTATTATTAACTGTTTTATTAATTATTTTAGAGCAATGCTATATATCTCAAATTTGTATCGCAAATGTGCATCGCAAATTAATAAGAATGGTTGGATAATTGGATTCTAATTAAAAAAGTTGATAGGACTCACTCATCCAATAATCTCAATTTATTTTGGATTCAAATTTGAGTTATGAATTTAAATTACATACTGTTTTCCATTATTTTATATCACATTCAACTAATTTAATCTTGTATAAATTTATTTTTGTGCATCATTAATTAAATTTGAATTCATATTAATTTCAAATCAAAATACGATGCACCGACAGTCCTGCTAACCCTACCATCCTATTAATCATACATCATAATTAATTATGAAGACACTCTTTATAGTTTCTAAAATTAAAATTGGCATCCTATATTTTCAAATATCTTCAAAAAATTCAAGGCACGTAAACTATAATTATCAATTAAGGCGTGTGATTGTGATTTGCCCCACTACAAAATATTGTTTATACTATTAATTAATAAAAGGTAAAGAGTAACGGTTTTGTCTCCACTTATGAAATACCTATTATTAGGGGTGTTCAAATTTTTGATTGATCGTAATATTTTATCTTATCCTACCATACTGAATGATTAGCTACAAAAATCGGATAGAAATGCGAAAGAGTTTTTAATCTTTCGATTAAATCGGGTAGGAATGCAGAATACCCATCAATTTCCGCATTCCTACCCTACTCTACCCGCAAAAAATATATTTAACTTTTTTATATATTGTTTTAGTAATTATAAGAGTATTTGTGTGGTATAATTTATATTATAAACATTGTTATTGTTGTGAATGTTTGAGTTGCGAAAATATGTACTTATTTTTTGTGTAGATTACATAATTTGTGGTGAACTAATGAACTATTAGAGCAGTTATGATTTTAATGTGTTTTATATGGTTTAAATTTAAAATAATTATTTTTATTTGTATAACAATTATGATGTATTGATGTTCATATTTTTTTATGTTTTATTGTAATTGTTATTGTAGTTGTTTTAACTTTTAGTGTTATTGATTTATTATATTGTTAATTGGTGCATGTTATTTAATTGAATTATTAAAATGATCCAAAAATTAATAGCTACAAAAGTGTTTACCCGATTTTCTGAAGGAAGTCGGGTAGGAATACTACATCTATTCGGGTAGGATAGGCCAAGAAAAAATTCTTCCGCAAAATATCGGGTAAGAAGACGGAAGACAATATTTTTTACCCGTAGGATAGGGTGAACATCCCTACCTGTTATACACTTCATTTTTTATTTTAATTAAACATAATATGTTTTTAATTACATTATCAATTGTACTAAACCATTCATAACTACCAAAATTGGTCAATTATAATCTTTTTTCATTCTTTCACTTTTTTTTTTACGTGCACGACCCTAAGAGTATAATAATGAAAAAAATAATATTTTTGATACATTAAAGATATAATACAAAATATTTATTTTTTAATAATATAAAATAAATATTCTTAAATTTTGTAGGGTATAATGTGAAATTCTCCCTATTAAAATATTGAACTATTTAGTCCAAAATTTAACCAATAACATCTCTGCATCTCAGTTCTCGATTCAAAAACAGTAATCACTTCAATCCAAAACATCGCCAGCACCAGAACTCTCTCTCTCTCTCTCTCTCACCCTGTGCGTGTGTGTATAGTCTTCCAATGGCAAGGTGCTTTAGTTTGACAGCATCGGGAAACTGGTGTCTCGCGTTCGTTTTCCGAAGTTCCGGCCTCCGCTCGACGGTCACCGACCTCGGCGACGGCACAATCATGCACTGCTGGGTCCCCAAGACCCGTAAACCCACCAAACCTAACTTGGTCCTCATCCACGGATTCGGAGCCAACGCAATGTGGCAATGGAGCGAAACAATCCGAGTCCTGATCTCCCACTTCAACATCTACGTTCCGGACTTGATCTTCTTTGGTGACTCGTTCACGACTCGACCGGAGAGGTCGGAATCGTTCCAGGCTCAGTGTGTAATGCGAGTCATGGATGTTAACTCAGTGGACAAAATGACTGTGGTGGGGTTGAGCTACGGTGGGTTTGTGGCGTACAGTATGGCGGCGCAGTTCGAAGAGAGGATAGAGAGGGTGGTGATATGTTGCGCCGGGGTATGTTTGGAGGAGAAAGATTTGACGGAGGGGTTGTTTCCGGTGGGGGAGGTGGAGGCGGCGGCGGACATTTTGGTGCCGCAGACAGCGGAGAAAATGAGGGAATTGATGCGTTTTACTTTTGTAAAGCCACCCAAGAGATTGCCGACTTTCTTCCTCAATGACTTCATTCAGGTGTGTAGCTTCTAACATGTGCCTTATGTCTAGGTTAAGCTCTGATTTAGTACATGTTAAAAAATTAATTAGTGGTTAGTGGAAATTCGGATGCACCGTAAATTTAGATATTTTGAATTCAAAATTTTAATAACATTTTCGAGTCAGACTCTCATTAAATTTCTTATTTTTGGCACCATTAATCAAAATTCACATAATCAATTTAGACACTTTTGGCCGTAGTACTAAAAAACAAAATTTGAATTATCTATTTAGTAAATCTATAATATAAAATATGATCGATTTCAATAAATTTATTTGACAATCTCAAATAAACTTATTTGACGGTCACCGATGCCTCTCTTAAAATCATTCACATTGTACTGTGACTTCAGGCACGGAAGCACACGTTACCCTAGTTGTTATATCAAATGAATCAATATGAATGTTATACAACATATTTCTCTTTTATTTTTCTTTTTTTTTTTTTTGCAATCAATTTTTTTTTTCTCAATTCGAGTCCCTGCTATAATTAAGTCTCACAACTTTGAGTAAATTAATGAGAGGAAATTTTTGTTACCGAATTTAGATCATAATCGAGTTGGCTTATTAAACCCGCTTAATAAATAAGTCTAGCCGAACCCGATTATTTACAACTTATATTCGACAGGATATAAACCTACCTGCCCAAATACATTATTTATCTACCTATATAAAATTTGAAGTTGACTATTGATAGCTTATATATACAACACGAGCCCGATCTTAATTTTAACCAAGTATATATATGGTTAAAAAAGAGTCGTTAGAGTTGAATCAATTTTTACACCACACGACCCATTTCCCCAACAATTAGCAACAATGAGCCTACAAATGGGAGACTTGATATGTGCAACGTTTGCTTGGTTAATCCAAGCTTTACCATGAAAATAGGTCACTTCCTCTTGTTTAACAATGCATTTTTGTGTAGTTCACCATCAGTTTTTCAATGATATTAAGACATTAATGCTTGATTTAGTTTCAAGTCATGCAGCATCAGAGTTTTCTTTTTTTTTTTTGGAACCGGATGCAGAATAAGAGTGGAAGTTGTTATACCCCGTTATGATTAAAGTATCGATGAAGGGGGAGTTTATAGGTTCAAAACTCACTGCAAAAAAATTGCGAAAAAATCAATATGTGTTTTATCCTTGGTGGGTTTGATTTACTGAACAGTATTATGGGGCAGGAAATGTGTACACAATACGTAGAGGAGAAGAAAGAGTTGATTAGAGCCATCCCAAAAGACAGGAAACTCTCGGACCTTACCAAGATTACTCAGGTTTTTATTTTTCTTACCACTATTGTATTTGTCCTAATTAGTTCACGAGCATATCTATTATGTTCTTTCTTTATCAATAATGAACAAAGTTCTTTTGCTTTCTTCTGATGCAGCCGACCTTAATAGTCTGGGGAGATCAAGACAAAATATTCCCATTAGAACTCGGCCATAGATTAAAAAGGTAATCCTCTTGAAAATCAACTACAAGTTATTGATTGTTTTAGGGACAATTACACTTTGACCCGTTCAATTACCCCTCTATCTCATGTGGGCCCCCTAACTTGTTTCTCATGTTACACCTCCAACTATGGTTATTTGTCTCATATCTCTCCCATCAACTATCACATTTTTGAAAGATTAGACTTCTAACTAACTCTAGTAGTTGGACTTATAGCGCCTCAAATAAAGGGGAAGGTATGCGATACCGAAAAAACATATAATTTGTACTATAGTCACAGCCACTCGAGGGAAGACTAAGATCGATCATGGACTTTCCTTAAACAATATTAACTTCTCCCTTATGAGGTTTATCTTAACCTTTAAAACTTGTAACTTAACCTTAAAAGTTGTAATTTTCGGTATTGATCGCAACTTTTTATAATCAATCATGTCTTTTACGAGTTGTAATTTTTAGAAGTTGTAATTTTTGGTAACAGACAATGAAAATATGTATTTTACTACACATGGACTTTAAAAATATGTAATTGTGAGGCAATGTAAAACCATTTCAAGCAGTTGGTTGGGGGAGAAAACGCGTGAAACTCAATAGTTGGGACAAAATGAGACCGACCAGGGTCATAGCTGAAAGCGTCAAGGTGTACTTTGTCAAACTGTAGTTTGTCCGTTCCTTTATTTTCTGCCAACTAAAAGTGCCCACCAGAAAACATTTATGATTCAATGAATGCAATGCACATTTTAAGTTGGGCAGTTGGTGATTTTATGCAGGCATTTGGGAGAGAAAGCTCAGCTAGTAATCATCAAGAACACAGGCCATGCTTTCATTTATGAGAAACCCAGACTGTGCCACAAACACTTGAAATCCTTCCTCATTGTTTCGGCGGCCCCTCCTCCTCCTACAAGCCCTCTTCCTAATTTGCAGAATGGCAAATGAATTACCAGCTGCAGAATCATTGGTGGATCGAATATTTAACTTGGGTTTTCTTTCTTCAGAACCAAAGGGAGAAAGGTAGATATCAAACCCAGAAATTGTTGTCTCTAGTTTTTTGTAACCTTTCAAATACAGTTCAATCACCAAGTATTACCCAAAGATTGCTTTTCAAGCTCTCACCATATTTAAGATACATTCTACTAAACCCCCCACACACATTTAATGATTACATAATATATACAAACGATTTAGAATCCGCAGTTGATGCAAACCCTAGCGTACTCGATCCATTCCCAACATGAAAATCTCTCAAAATCTTGCATTTTCCCCTTCTCTCTCACTCTCTAGGGTTTTCTAGGGCCGAAGACTGCTGATATCGACCATTTTTGGTACCTGTATATGATCCCTTGTGGGGAAAATAAACTTTCTTTCCCAGGCACTGGTGAACATGATAAACATACCCAGTAAGAGAAACACACAACAGTTAAACCTGGATCGTGTAATTTCCAAAGGCACATAATGACAAGGAGATGTGTAGAAAAGAAATCAAAATTTACCACACTCAAAGCCAACCAAAGAAATGGTTGAACGGCTTCATATTCAACTTGTAAAGAACTCACAACACAAACGTCGTAGTGTAGTAATCTGTTTAACTGTAAAGACAACAATTACATTGGGAGAATGGGAATGCGGATAAAACACAAGCCAATAGTCCCTATAATGACAACGATTTTCACAATAAGGCACCTCCACATCATTTAGTCCACTGTCTCAAAGAATCTTGATGTGTTTATTCCAACTAACTCTGCAATGGCAACATATAAAAAAATTGATGTTATAGCAGGAGGAAAGATACAACCATAGTTTTGAAACCCGGGTTGGACATCAACTTGACAAATGGACCGGGTTAATGGGACTGGTTATATAATAAAAAAATAAAAAATAATTAATAATGCTAATAAAAATGCTAGCNATCAACTCGACAAATGGACCGGGTTAATGGGACTGGTTATATAATAAAAAAATAAAAAATAATTAATAATGCTAATAAAAATGCTAGAAAATATTTATAATTATAAAAACATGCTAAAAAATATTTATAATTAACAAATCTTCTACCTATAGCAACTGAATCGACAAGTCAGATTGATAAAAAAAAAAAAAGAACAAAAGTCTTGCTATATAAAATCATTAAAGTACATTCAGAAGAAGTGGGATATGCAAATTTTGGGTCTACTTAAACCAGCGTGCAGCTAACCATGCAACCCAATTCTCTCCAATATCCCCCTTGTGCGTAATTTGCTAAATAAAAAATTTCTCAATTTGCAAATAAAAAAAATTCGATAGTCTTAAACTTGATATTAACTAAAATTACAGGTTCTGAATTGACGTTTTCAAGCTGTCAACAGAATTTCAAAACACAATGACAAAAAATGCTTAAAATCAAAAATCATTAGCCTATGACTCAAACCACTACCAATCACCGTTATCTACAACGAACTCATAAAGGTGGCTGAAAGCAAGCAAACCAATATCCATAAGCAAAAAGAGAGAGATTGAGATGTTTTATACAATATCATCAACTGAAATAACAGAGAGAGAGACAGGGATGTACTTGTTGTGTCTAGTGAGAAGGAAATGCGCAGAGACTAGAGTGCGAAGCAAATCATAAACCCCTCTTTTGATTAAAGAAGTCAACGATTGAGATGAGACAACGATCGATTACTTTCGATTAAAGAAGCAAAATCAGACGACGCTTGCCTTTGTAGTTCTTTCAATCGACGAAGAGAGTCGCAGAGAGAAGTAAAGAGAGAGAGACGATCGACTGTGGAGGTTGAGAGCATTCAAGAGGTAGGGGCGTAAAGCAAATACCAATTAGGGCAAAAATGCCAAAAATTTTGTTTTTATAAGGTTTTAACTAATCCACCCNAAATCAGACGACGCTTGCCTTTGTAGTTCTTTCAATCGACGAAGAGAGTCGCAGAGAGAAGTAAAGAGAGAGAGACGATCGACTGTGGAGGTTGAGAGCATTCAAGAGGTAGGGGCGTAAAGCAAATACCAATTAGGGCAAAAATGCCAAAAATTTTGTTTTTATAAGGTTTTAACTAATCCACCCGGTTTTTAAAAAACCATCTGAGTTGAACAATTGGGATAAGAACTGTCCGGTTCAATGGGTTTTGGGTGGTTTTATTGCTTGAATGATCCAATATGGTCACCGGCCGNGGGATAAGAACTGTCCGGTTCAATGGGTTTTGGGTGGTTTTATTGCTTGAACGATCCAATATGGTCACCGGCCCGATTCAGGCTCCAATTCACTTGGTCAACCTGCCAGGTTGGACCGAGTTTTAAAACTCTGGATACAACAATGGAGGAAGCCAAAAAAAATGTGAAAAAAATAAAAAATAATAATCATTAGCATGCTAATATCAAGACAACCACATGGTATCTCCATTGAATAAAGTCATGAAAACTTCCAGGTTGGTATTTATCATGTCATATATTAAGGAACACAAAACCAATGGTTGATGTTATCTAATTTGGACAAATACCCCAAACTAGGACACCACCAGCAGAAATCCGATGCATTACGATTGTGAATACATAAACATGAACACTGCAGTAAAATCTTACCTCCCCCTGAGGTTCATCACCCTTAGATTGCTCACCTGCCGAACAAAAACATCAATTAAGTTGTTCATAAGATAAGAAACAAACATTTTATTATTAATACTTAATAGGGAATCGTACAAAAAAGGATAAGAGCGTGCATAAGATGTCCAAACGAAGGACCAATTTAAGGAGTCTAGATCACATATATCATCTGAAAAAAGGGGTTTGCATGACTAACTAAATGCAATTTTCTTTTTTTTTTTTTTAATCCCCCACCCCATTGTCATTCTGGGTGTCACGACATGGTGTATCTATTGCTGTTGTCCTCTTCCTCAATCAAGTTTTGAGGTAAGAACTATTCATCTCTTTGTTACACTTCTGACACAAAATATCAACTCTGTCAAGGTTTCTTCTGCAAAGTGAATAGAGCGATAGTTTTCCTAGAAACCTGAACCTTAAGTCTCCTCCCATCACTTCCATGTAGTGTAACGGGCCACAGCAAAGAGATTCATCCTCTATGATGCACACATCATATCATATATTGTAATTAAGACATTCGATTGAATACATTGAAAAAGATTGAGGCAAAATAGAAGACAAGACCCAAAAAGAATAATTTCTCAACCTAGGAGACTAAATAATCCACAACAAACTAGCATTATTTCTTCAATTTAAAAATTAGCTTCCCAATCCTTCAAACAAAAATTTCCCCCATTCCATAGGAATTGTTTGTTTCTAATAGATTTGCTTCTACTATATTTGTATAAGACCAAAATTACTACTTTGGAAACTATTATCCTCCTAGTAGGGACGGAACCAAAAATATGATCCAAAGGGGGACAAACAATGTTTTAATATCGTTAAAAAATTCACACACCAAATTGGTAAGTACAAATTAATAAGAACATAAATAATATCAAGAACACCAAATTTATGTGAATAGAAAAAATCATAGTTATATTTACGAGGCATGATTAGAGATGCTTATTTATTATGTAAGAAAGCGAAAAAAAAAAGTACCAACTTGAATAATTTAAGTTTAAATCTCAAACTCTTGAACCCTTGTACACCTTTGATAGCATAATTTTACCCTGAAATCTGATGTCAAATTCGGTGGTCTGTTGTCGATATAAGTCTTTGTTACAAAAAGAGAGAAAGTGACATGACTAAATGAGATGTTGAAAGAAGAACACATCCAATTGCGTAAGGCCTTATCTTAAAAAAGGGCTTAGACATGTTAAATCTATATTCCTTACACTAGGCTACCACTCTTGGAGTTTGATCAAGGGATCCAACAAATACCAAATCAGTAGACAATATGAAAATTTGTGTGTGAAGGAGACATTTTTTACTATGCCGGTGGAGAGATACGAGTTGAGTAAAAGGACTTCTATAGATATTTTAAAAAGCTATCACACGCAGGCAAGATAAGATAAGACAAAAGAGCTGGAACAACTCTAATTACTATAGGGAACCCATGGCTTATGGCAATCTAAGAATGTGAAGATGAAATATTGATGTTTTCTAAGGCTATTTGGGTAAAGAGTGGAAAACTATCAAAGGCAAAGGATATGTTGGCAGATATGGCAATGCATATAGAAGGTTACTCGAAAAGCTGAGGGAGGCCATGGCCCACCCTGGCCATAGGGTGGTTCCATCGCTGCTCCCAGGGGTAAAATGCCTTAGAAACTACAAGACCGGTATTAGTCAAGGACCAATTGCGAGTGCACTAAAACAGAAAGTAAAAACAACAATTCATCAAGATCTCAGCAAAAAGTTCAAGTATGACAGGAAAACTAGACCACGTGTTGACTAATATGACAAAACTCGGACTGTTTAAGAAAATAATACTGAAATTTAGCCTCATGTTGACCTAGTCATTTCTTTACAACACTGGCTTCCATCAATGCACTGCGCCACAAGTAAGCAGACTTTAGCAAAGACATTTTAGGACAGCAAATTAGTAAGATAATTCCTTCTCTTGTACTACCGCAGCTCTAGACCTATATGCTTAAAGCTACTTAACCCCCCCAAAAAAAACCATGACTTCAGGAATCAACAAAAGGCACAAACTTGACTCATAGCATTTACCTCCCTCTTCTGAAAGGTCTGAGGTCCATAGTGTGAGATTATCCCTAAGAAGCTGCATAATGAGAGTGCTATCCTTATAGGATTCTTCATTGAGGCTATCAAGTTCTGCAATAGCCTCATCAAATGCATGTTTAGCTACGTGGCAAGCCCTACACAGCACAAAGAATGTTTGCATGCAACTTAAATAGGCAACAATAAAATGAACATAAAATTAATAATATTTTTATCAAAGAAGGAGATGTAAAAGAACAAAAGAATAATTAGTTATTTATTGCAATTATAATCCTGCTAAAAGGAAAATTTTTAAAGGAGAGAAAAAGAGAGATGTCAACCTTTCGGGGGAGTTAAAGATCTCGTAGTAAAAAACAGAAAAGTTCAAAGCCAAACCGAGCCTAATTGGATGGGTTGGGGGAAGATCAGAGGAAGCAATCTTAGTCGCAGCCTGCAGCAGAAATAATAATTTGATTAACTCTAGAGCTGCGAATATGAATATGCAAACAAGAACGATAAATGAGATTATGAAAATCATCCAAATAAATGAAAAAAATAAATAAATAAGTAGTATAATCGTAGATAAAAGGAGATAAGAAAAAGAATGGAAGGAACCTCATAAGCCTTGATTGACTGATCTGCCTCTTTTTTACGATAATTTCCTGTTTTAAACTCGGCTAAATAACGACAGTAATCTCCCTTCCTGCAAACAAAAGGAAGAAAGATTCACAGATCAAATAATGATGTAAACAAAGAGAAAACCTTGTAGGTCTTTGAATATTGGTACAAACTAAATCAAGCAAATCCAGTGAATTCAAAAGGAGAGATTCTCAGAGTTAATCCTCTTAGAAACGAAAATGAATGCTCCTCCTCATCTAATACCGAGTTTGAAAAGATATCACTAAAAATTTAAGAGAAGCTCACATACAGACAAATCATCAGTAGATCAATAAATACCCACAGACAAATAACGCATGTTCGTATTAAATATTTACACCCACATGATCCAAATCTACTGATCTAATTGTCCAGGATTTGATGTTTTGGTTGACAACACATATCCTACTTAGACATCCATTCCAATCGAAAATCCCTCAATCAAAAAGATCAAGGGGTATAAGAAAGCGAACAAGACAAAAATTACTCACATTTTATAGTAGAAAACAGTTGATTCTCCAGTTGAGGATGATGGGAGCAGGTGTTCATCAATTACTGACAAAATGTCACTGCATATCTTTGTAAGCTCATCCTCAACCCTTTGTCGGTAATCCCTTATCCTTTTCACATTTTGCTCGTGCCCCCTACCCTCCTCCTTTTGTTCAATGGATGACAAAATACGCCATGATGCCCTTCTTGCCCCAATTACATTCTTATACGCAACTGACACCAGATTCCTCTCCTCCACAGTCAGCTCCACATCCAATATTGCAACCTTCTTCATTGCTTCAACCATCTCTGGAGAATCAGCAAATGAAAGAATATAAACATGAATACAACATAATAAAGAAAACTAACCTACAGTCAATAAAACCATTTGACATTCTTATATGCTTAATTCAGAAGTAAAAGAAGTGATGAGTGTTTGGTCGACACCTGAAAGTATTAAGAAAAGAAAAACGAAAGGAAAAGATACACAAAAAAAAAAAAAAAAAATACTACGAGATGGTGTCACATATGAGAAATATATAAACAAAATTTAATACCTTAACACACACAATGTTTTCACAAATACACACTGACATACTTTAACATACAGAGCTATGACTAGACTAGTTTCAAAAGCTAAAAGAACATGGGACCATTAAAGTGGGTACAGAAACTACAATATATTGTAATGAACCCATTCTATTGTAATTATGAAATTCTTTCATACGTTTTTGATGAGTTCTTTTACCCCGAATCAAAGATAAATCCCACCAAACTTTCATTTGGGGTATTCATTCAGAACCTAATTGAGAATTTTAACATATAAAGTAATTATATAGGTCCTTAGTAATAAAGATGATCTCTTAGTCCAGCACACCCACTGAGATGAAAAACTATTATGACCATGCTGCACTAAATAATGGTAAAAATCTATAACTACACCCACACACAGAATTCTGTACACACTTAATAAAAAACAAATCAAACCAACATTATGTATGCAAAATCCAGTCCCCAACAGGTACTATCACTTAATCAAAAGATTGGGACCCCTCCCACTCATCTAGTTAAGTTATAACATAATACAATCCAAAAGTGAAAAGATTACAATAAAGTAAACATTTTGCAATTGATCGAGTAAATCAGCAAATATTCATTCATAAACCTAAACAGTATAATCTAATCACAATCCAGTAGTCTGCTTCCCATCCTGCAACCATCAAATAGATACCCAGAAAAGAACAGTACCCACAAACCCCATAAAACAATCAAGAAATAAATAAGGGGAAAAAAGGTCTACACTTGCATAGTTGCATAAACCTATCTATATATACATTTTCTTCTTTTAGGTAAAAAAAAGAGAGGAATACATAGGAATACCATCATATCTCTCAGCTTGCTCTGCTAGTCTAGCCAAGTAAACTTGCTGCTGTCTCTCCGCCATACCCCTCTGTCTCTCTCTCTCCCTCGGTCTCTCTGACTATGATTCTCTCGCTCGCTCTCCTTTCGTTTAATGTCACTTTGATCGTTGAGAGATGCTTGCATTTTTAATTTATACCCTCAAATATTAAAAATTTTAATTTATACCTTAATATTATAAATTAATTGCAATGTGGATCTTGCCCAAACTACTGTTTAATTTTTGTCATAAATTGAAGTACATGAATTGCAACTGCTTTAATAAACTTATACATAAGTTTACAATGGCTCATGTGAGTTGCACATTATAGACTTAACATCTATTTTGATTAATGAAACCTTATTTTCAAAACATAAAATAAAATGTAAAATGATCGCAGACAAAGATCTATAGCAATAGACACACCTCATGCTCATGCCTGAAGTATATGCAATTCATTTANGTTTACAATGGCTCATGTGAGTTGCACATTATAGACTTAACATCTATTTTGATTAATAAAATCTTATTTTCAAAACATAAAATCAAATGTAAAATGATCGCAGACAAAGATCTATAGCAATGGACACACCTCATGCTCATGCCTGAAGTATATGCAATTCATTTACTTCAATTTATGATAGAAAATTGAACGACAAGTTAAGCGAAATTCATATTATTATCAATTTATAAAATTAAAGGTATAAATTAAAATTTTTAATGTTCGAGGGTGTAAATTAAAAATTAAAATACCTTTTATGGAAAGTGAGATATCAAAATAATAATAATAAAAAAAAAGAATTAAAGATTAGATTTAAAGGGCATGAAATGTTCATANATATTATTATCAATTTATAAAATTAAAGGTATAAATTAAAATTTTTAATGTTCGAGGATGTAAATTAAAAATTAAAATATCTTTTATGGAAAGTGAGATATCAAAATAATAATAATAAAAAAAAAGAATTAAAGATTAGATTTAAAGGGCATGAAATGTTCATCTGATATAATAAATTCGAATTTAAAATTCAATCTAAAGGCGCTTACTTATCATTTGTCTCTTTTTATATTCTATTGTACCTTTTATAATTTAACTATACATAAAATTTTTGTACAATTAATTTCAGATTGTAATAGCCATGAGAAAGGGGCTATCCCACGTCGGATGACCTTTAGGGTCGTGTGTGTGTGTGTAAGATCCTCTACCGCTTACACTCTTAAGTANAAATTTTTGTACAATTAATTTCAGATTGTAATAGCCATGAGAAAGGGGCTATCCCACGTCGGATGACCTTTAGGGTTGTGTGTGTGTGTGTGTAAGATCCTCTACCGCTTACACTCTTAAGTGTAAGTTTCAGAGTGATTCTGTGTTAAAAAAAATAGAAAATTTGTGTGCTCGAGTCTGCCCCACGCATATGTGTGTGGGTCCCGTCTGCCATTGAAAAATGGTTCAAAAATGTGTCGTTGGAGACTGGAATTATTTCACATCGGATGACCTTGGGATTGTGTATGTGTATATAAGGTCTTATGCCGCTTATACTCTTAAGTGTAAGTTTCAGAGTGATTCTTGGTTACAAAAAAAATAAACATGAAAAAACACCTGCATCTCGTATCGAACCCAAGNACTGGAATTATTTCACATCGGATGACCTTGGGATTGTGTATGTGTATATAAGGTCTTCTGCCGCTTATACTCTTAAGTGTAAGTTTCAGAGTGATTCTTTGTTACAAAAAAAATAAACATGGAAAAACACCTGCATCTCGTATCGTCCAAGCGAAGCTGGGAAAGGAACCGCAACGCATCATGCATGCTTTGACCTCCTTAGATTAAACTGTTTTGGCCTAAGGTCCGTAGGTTATAAGGGAAGTCTCGAGACATTTATGCTCCGTTTGGTACGATAGAAAAGTGAGAGTATGAAAAGTTGAAGAGATAAATAAAACATCATATTTGGTTTAAGAAGGAAAGTAGAAAAGATGAAAAAGTAGATGGATTAACTTTCCTTCAACTCACCAAAATCAATCCCTCCAAAATCGGAAGGAAAGCTAATTATTTGTGTTGAGATGTATCTTATTTGTCTATATATTTTATGTATACATTAATTTCATATAAAAATGCAATGATAAAATATGTATACATATTTTTAAAATATTTAAAATAAATTAAAAAATTAAAAAATTTTAAATTTTAAATTAAAAAATATATATTTTTTCCATCTTAACTAAGGATGAAAATTTTCGACTCAACACAATGACGCGACTCGAACTCGATACAAAAATAAACAAGTCAACTTGCAACTCCACACGACATAATTAATTAAATGAGTTAAGTTAGGTTTGACTAATATTCGACACAAATTCGTAATGACTCAACGCGAATCTGACACGACATGATTTGACTCAATTGCCATCCCTAATCTTAGCTAGCACAAAAAAAAAAAAAAATTTATTTTTATTTTTCATCCATCCAACCAAAAACAAAGGAAGGAAAATATATCCTTCTTATTTTCTACCTTTGAAGAATAGAAAGTTCATTTTTCATACTTTTCATCCTTCCCACTTTGCATCCTCCGTACCAAACAGAGCATTTGANCTACCTTTGAAGAATAGAAAGTTCATTCTTCATACTTTTCATCCTTCCCACTTTGCATCCTCCGTACCAAACAGAGCATTTGAGAAAAATCATGCGGAGTTTTTTCAAGATTTGAAAACTTGTTCACAGCAGTGAAATCTCGAAAGACTTTTCTTATGTCTTTTGCATTTTAAAATAAAGGTGGCCAATTACAATAAAATTGTAATTCTTCCATATATAATTTGCATTTTATTATTACTAGTTAATCAGACATATTAAGTTTTTCAATAAATAATTAGGGATCTATCTATTATATTTATAATAAGATGATGAAAATCATTATGTGAAGTAAGATTTGACTCCCATCACTAACTTATTTCCGTTCATATTGTAGGCTTTGTTGTTGATTCACAATGTATCCTCTCGATTCCATCGTTAAGTTTTTTTTTTTTTTTTTTAAAATAATGTTATCACCCAATATTTTTTTAAGAGTATGAGAGTAAGCCATAATACAATGGTAAAATTATTTTATTATTATATGTGACGAGCTTAGATTCAAATCAAGTATGCGTTCTGTTCATAGGTTGAGTCCAAACCATCAAAAGACAGACAAAGTTNGAGTAAGCCATAATACAATGGTAAAATTATTTTATTATTATATGTGACGAGCTTAGATTCAAATCAAGTCTGCGTTCTGTTTATAGGTTGAGTCCAAACCATCAAAAGACAGACAAAGTTTAGCTCATGACTTCAGTCTTGTCCAAAGTTCAAGAGTCCAAAAGTCAACGTACGTGAAAGAATAATTATCAGGATAACCATAACTCTAAGATAGTGTCTATCTCTAATTGTAGCTATCCTTTTAAGTAAACTTGTACCTTGACGATCGCCTCAGCACACTCCTCACCTTGAACATATTCTTACTCTCTCTCCCTCTCTCCTTCTACTTTGTATTATCTGATTAATAGAGTTTTTCGACCACCATTGCCGCCTTCTGTGGTTAAACCATTAAGATCCAATCACCTAATTTTTATTTTTTATTATTAATTGTTATACACTATATATTCAACTTATTTGGTTGTGCATGGTTAATTTTGTGTATCATTAATGTTATGAGTTTTAGTAACATAATCATTCTCTTTACCTACGATCGTAAAATTGTAAACATATGATTTTTTTCAAAACGTGCATACATAGAAATCTCGCAGACTAATCATTTTTCTATTAAGAAAAAAAATAAGTAGACGTGAGAGATGGGACCCAACCAGGGGTCTACGGTCTACCACCAGTTGTTGCTTCACCCACCAAGTGGCTAAAAGGTCCCCCGGATATGGATTGCCAATTTCTTTCCACGATCACGCAAAAAAGCAGCGAAATGGTCCCAAAAATCATAT